CTGTGCTGCCTTCATCACTCCTATGAGCAGGTGACTCTGATGCCCTTCATTTCCTGCAGCCCTTCATAAGTCAAAGGCAGAAGGAAGTGTTATGAGCTGCAGGTACACCTTGGCAAGGAGCAGAGATCTCCAGGCTTGAAGAGCCAACACAGCTTCCCCCCAGGGCAAATGAGCTCAGAAACGGCCAGAGGAAGCCTTAGCCACCACAGGGGCTGGAATTGGAATATGAGCCAGAAACAGAGACCGCCCCAGATTTGCGTGGAGCCTGGGCTGGCTTTACAGGAGAAGACCTCCCTGGGGTGGGGCCCAGGATCCCAAAGGATCTATGCAAAGTCAGTTTGAGTCAAGGACGCCTGTGCTGTACGGGGATGAGATGAGGGGGAATGCTCAGCCACTCTCAAAATTAACTGTAGGTCTGGTCAGAAAACCCCTGGAATGGTGGCGCACACACAGAAGCTGGTGCTTCCGTCCCTTTTGTCCTCTCAGCTCCTGGCCTTGACTGCGAGCTGCCTTCCAGAATTATCCTCTGCCACCTTCTTCAGAAATTTCAAACTCAGTGTAGTCAGAGTTGCACTTGTAGCATCTCCGCCACAGCCCTGTCCTGTGTTCTGCTCGCCCACGAATGGGACTCAGGGGCGTGTTAGGCTCGTCCGTTCCCTCCCCTCGCCTGCCCTGACGGTCCTGCTTAAATCCGCTCCACTCTGCACCTACCACAGGGCCTCAGCTCTCTGCCGTGGGTGTTAGTTAGACCTCCTGTGAGGCTCTCTGCTTCAGGCCAGCCCCTGCAGTCCACCCTGTGCGCGCCCCACCAGTCTTAGCGCCTGAAAGTGAAATCTGATGTTACCTGCTGAACACGCTACGATGATGCTCCTGGAAAGGAAAAAACACAAAGTCCTTAAAAGAAGACTAGTGAGAGCTGATACATTTTCAGTGATTTCTATACACCAGACACAGGCCTCAGTGCTTCATGAGATCAGCCTCCTCACTTGCACAACACTGTCATGTGTGATTCTCATCTTGACTGAGTCTCTTCTCCAGATGAGGCACCTGAGGCAAGGCTCCTCTCAGCGAACCCCGCATTTCTTACGGAGAGCAGCTTGCAGCACACAGTTCGCCAGGCTGCCTGCCCACTTGTCTTTGCTGTGGACACAGCCCCCCTGTGGCTGAGCTGCCCAGCACCCCAACATGGTGCCTCTCAGCCCTCCCCACCCGCAGACAGTAAAGCGCTCCTTCTGTGTGTTCTTACAACCTCATACGTGCGCACATCAGTCTTCATAATGTTCCAGCATGACCGGAACTCTGTTTTATTTGGATGGATTTGCAAGCGTTAAAAATACTCAGTGTGTGGCCCTCCCTGGTGGCTCAGCGGGTTAAAGCACAGCACTGAGAAGCTAAAGCCACTTCCGCATGAGTTCGATTCCCGCCTGCCCCGGAGGTGACCACATGGCGTGGCAGACCTCTCCTGACCCGCCCGTTGCTCCCCTCAGCAGTGTGCTTCGTCCATCTGTTCTGTTCCCCACTCTGTCTCTGGTGAAGCCTCTCGCCGCCCCTGAGCCTCTGGCCTGTACCCCAGTTCTGTATGCACAAATAAATAAATCTTGAAAAAAAAAAATACTCAGTGACAATCTTGCTGCTCTCTCAGGCCGCTGCTGCTTAGGGCTCTTTGGAGCCAGGGACTCAGCGGCACGGTGCCTGCAGGAGCACATGGGCCTTTTGTAGGCACCTGGGGGTCTGGAAGGCATTTAACCTGGGCGCTCGCTGTGCCTAAAGGTAGTCGGTGACTGACACACAGCACGTCCAGCCTTTTCAGCAGTGAAGCCTGTGCATCCCGTGTCTGGCTGCCTTCTCTCCACAGCAGCAGCGTCGAGTAGTTGCCACAGCAACTGTATGGCCAAAGCTCTCGCCTCTGCGGAGTTTTTTACTGGCAGAGGAGATCAGGAGCGGGTGCCAACCCCGTCACCCAGTCACCCCGCACGCACGTGTGTCCAAGCTGAGGAGTTGGGGCATAGTAATTCACAGTGTCACCTGGTCATTGCTCGTTAGTTGCTTTTCCTTAAAATGCTCCGATACGGGGCTCTCTCTGGTGGCGCAATAGGTTAGAGCACCGCACTATGAAGCTCTCGGAAGCCTCTGCAGCACGAGTTCGATCCCCAGCCAGGGAGCTGACCCACAGGGCACAGCAGACCTCTCCTGACCCCGCCCACTGCCCCCCTCAGCAGTGTGTTTCAGTCAGTCGGCCTGTTCTGCTCCCCACTCTGTCTCTGATGAATCCTCTCACCCACCACCCCTCTGGCCTGTACTCCAGTTCTGTAAGCATAAATAAATAGGTCTTTAAAAAAAAGTTTTCCGTTTGGGGGAAATATCTAACTAATTTTACTGGAGTGGTTCTGTGATATTTCTAACAAGATCAACAAAAATGTGTTTGATTAAATACAGCTGTTGTTTTTCATGATGGTTTCTGGAATGAGATTTCCCTGAGCACACTAGGAGTGTGGTTTGGATGGAGACAGTTCTGAGAACGGGAGCGCGGTCTTGGGCTTCTGTTTCTGCCTCTGAAAGCAGAATAGAATATGTTATCTTAGAGCATCTGCGCTTGCAGCTCCGGTCATCTGATTCTGCATCTGTCCTGGTCAGTCCTTCTTCCCGAGGGGGAATCAACTTGCTAGAGTCATTTGCTCACTTGTGTTTGTTTAATTAATGGTCAGGTCCGCTGACGTGAGCTTGTTACGTGTCGGTCATGTTTCATTTATCTAATAAAATCGGCTGTTTACGACTTCACAGCTATTTTTATTTTTCATGATGATACTCACTTTCTCTGCTCACAGAATTATGTTCGAGTTGTCGAAGTTTGGTGGGATGAATATAAAGACTACTTCTATGCTAGTCGGCCTGAATCCAGGGCCCTTGCCTATGGGGACATATCTGAGCTGAAAAAATTTCGAGAAGACCATAACTGCAAAAGTTTCAAATGGTTCATGGAAGAAATCGCTTATGATATCACCTCACACTACCCTTTGCCACCCAAAAACGTTGAATGGGGAGAAGTAAGTATCCGCCAACTTTCAGATCTCCGAGCGTGTGTATGTGTGGAGATTGAGTTCGGGGAAAGGCAGAGAGAAAAGAGAACAGTGAGTGGATGAAAGGGCAAAAGTTGGGGTAAAAATGGTGTGTCCTCCCCCTCCCTCACCCTCCCTCACCCTCCCACCTCGACCCCTGACCCAGCTGCTCCCCTCCCAGCTCTGCACCTGGGCTCTGGGTCTTGGACCCAGAGGACAGTCTCTGGAAGTCTCCTAGTACCGGCTAGGAGAAGGACAGGGGGCGCCAGCGTCCAGCCTTTGGGCCTAGGAGGAGCCGAGGAAGGCCGCAGCCGCCCGGCGGAGCTCTGCCGTAACAGTTTCTCTCATTCTCATTCTGTTCCACCAGGGCAGGCGTGCTTCCCTCCCAACTGGCCATAAGCCCCAGGCCGTCTAGACCCTTCGTCAGCCCTGTGCATCTCTGTCAAGGGACTGCGTTCTCCCAGTCGCCCTGTCCGGTCTCGTAGCCTGAAAACCACCATGTGCTGACAACTCTAAAATTTCTCTCTTCAACCCAAGCCCGTGTCCCAGAGCCCAGACAGGTGCAGACACCGGCGCAGCCAGCGCCGGGTTCCCCTCCCAGCCGCCTCCACGCTGGGCCCAGACCCAGGCCGGTGGGTGTCTCCGAAGCCTCCCTTCCCCCACACGTGGCACCCAGCCCTGGAGTCAGCCTGCTGCTGTGGGGGCCCAGCACCACATCTCCCTAGAGTCTGGCGATCGTCCCCTCAGCCTGTTCTCAACCCCGCAGGCAGCCTGAGGATTTTTTGCGAAGTGAGTCCGGCCACATCAGTCCTCTCTCAGACCTGCAGTGACAACCCCTTTGGAGTGGCCTCGAGCACCTGTGTGATCCCCTTCCTCTGCCCCACCGACCCCCCTTCTATGACCTCAGGCTTCCCGGCCCACAGCCCTCCTAACGGCCTCAGCGCCAGCTCTGCAGCTCATTGCCCAGAGACTCTCCTCTGGTCCTTAGGTCCCCTCAGAGGCCACCTTCTTGGTGAGATCTACCAGCTGTCCCCCAGACTCTCTCAGTCCCCCCAACGGTGCTAAGCACTTCCTAGCGTGTCTTCTGTGCTTTCTCCTCTTTCCTCTCCCGAGAACATAAACTCAGGGCCGAGCACCTTTTTGCTGTTCACAGCGGATGTCAGAACCTGCCACACACCCGCTGTGTGTTCACTCAGTGTTTGATAGGTCGACGCAGGCATGGATGACTACGTGGAAGTTTCTGTCCTTCCTTTGCGATCTTACCCCTGAATCCGTTCGGCTTAACCTCCTCTGCCCGGCCTGTCCCTGCACCTTCCACCTGCCCTCCCAGGCTTTACTCCCATCTGGAATAAGCCCTACCTTTGAGGACATCCCAGGGGCAGGCGTCAGAGGAGCCCGGGGCGGGTGAGAGGCCGGTCCGAGTCCTGACTGTCGCTCCCCCTCAGCCTCCTGCGACACAAGGGCCGGGAACCACTGCCTGCTTCTCTTCTAAAAGCTTGACGTCGTAGCTGCTCCCTGCAGACTAAAGCAGCGTTTTTATTCCAGTGCTGTAGTAATTTATCATTGAGATATAAGTATGTATTTCCAAAGAGGAAAAAGTGACTTATACAAACAGGTGTTCCAGAGACGGGGGGTGTGCCTCCCTCTCCCACACTCCACAGTCAGAGGAAAGTGTCACCGGCCCCCTTCGCGGTTTCCTTCGCCCACCGGGGTCCAGGAGGCACTCGGGTGTCCACATCCGGCCAGCCTCCCCCTCCACTGTGGGCTGGACGTGATCCTGTGCAGTTTTCATTCACGTGCAGGACCTTGAACCTGAAATCGCGTTAATGGTGTCTTTTTATCTTTTCGTCTGAGGAGCACAAGAGACTGTGGTGATGGTGCATGGGTGAACTGGTAGTGGGAATTTCAAGGAGAACTCATTCATTGTACAAAAATGAAGGGTGATGTAATGAATATATATTTTTTTAAAAAAAAAAATAATAGGGGCCCTCCCTGGTGGCGCAGCGGGTTAAAGCACTGCACTGAGAAACTAAAGCCACTTCCGCATGAATTCGATTCCCGCCTGCCCCGGAGGTGACCACATGGCGCGGCAGACCTCTCCTGACCCGCCCGCTGCTCCCCTCAGCAGTGTACTTCGTCGATCTGCCTGTTCTGCTCCCCACTCTGTCTCTGGTGAAGCCTCTCACCCTCCGCATCTCTGGCCTGTACCCCAGTTCTATGTGAATAAATAAATAAAATCTTTAAAAATAATAATAATAATAATAATAAACCCGTAAGCCAGTGCCCTCAGTTGGAATGAGTCGAAGTCAGTGTTGACTTCAGGACGATAACATGATTTCAGCCATGACTGACAGTGGCCTGCTGGTACATGTGCCCAGATTTCCACTGTGAACGGCCGTATTTGACGTAAGCTCTTTCACGCTGATGCCACAATTCATTAAAAACGCAATTTGCCTGCTTTTTTGGTTCATTTTTCTAGATCAGAGGCTTTGAAACTGCTTACTGCATCGACAGCATGGGAAGAACTAACGGAGGCTTTGTGGAACTCGGGCCCTGCCACAGGATGGGGGGGAACCAGGTAAGTGGCCAGCCCTGAGCACCGCCAGGCTGTGACCACACGGTTTGTCTGGTTTTTCACTGGTAATTTTGTTTGTTTTGATAGAGTAAAACATTCTGTAAGTAGTTGACAGGGCTAAAACATCTGCTTAAATGAGGAAATGATAACAATACTGGTTTTTCCATAAGCATCCTGAATCCATAATTTATGTCTAATAGTGAGAGGTAAGGATACTCTCGTGTAAGTAGGTAACTACATACACCTAGCTCCTGGCAATTTATTTGAGAATATTGTTGAGTATTGCAGGTTTTCTCCAAAGAAACTGGAGTTACTGCCAGCAATGTGCATTTCACTATTATATTTTCTTCCAATATATCTTTCTTTTCTCTAATATAGATTCTCAAGCGTTATCAGGTTACTTTCTCACATTCTTGGTACCTAATAAATATGTGTTGATGACCCATTCTAGAGGATACCGAGCATAGAAATCTCCATTAACTTCAAAATGATTATAATTTCTGTCTTTGGACTTACAGTTCTGAACATACAGAAAAGTTATGGGACAATAAGGTAGTCCTGAGTTCAATTACAGGAGTTAAGTTTCAGTTTTGTTTCCCCCACACACACACAATGTAGATCAACAGAGAAATGTGTTATTTTCTCATTTCGTTTCCTTGCAACAGCTGTTCCGAATCAACGAAGCTAACCAGCTCATGCAGTACGATCAGTGTCTGGCAAAGGCGGCCGACGGGTCCAAAGTCATGATCACGCACTGCAATCTGAATGAGTTCAAGGAGTGGCAGTACTTCAAGGTATTCCGTGTTTCCGCTGCTGAAATAATATTCCGTGCTGTTTCTTTTTAATGACACCCACCAACCATGTGGAATTTAGGTATCTAAGCCTTGAAGCCTGCCTTCAGATCGGCTCGCCTTTCCCTGTCACTCAGTCCTTTGTTTCCCTGGGCGCCTGGTGACCCGCTGGCCTATGGGCCGTGTCACTTTCACTCCCTGTACAACGCTGCCTGGTCCGGCCGCCAGGTGCCCATCAGCGCCCCCTGCTCATTTCAGTAACCCGCTAAAATCCGTGATAGCAAGATATGATTTTCCTTAAATCGACATGAGTCATTCATGAAATGTATATCTCCGTATATGTGTGTACGCGTGCATCTGTAACATAAAAGCTAATGCGTTTATGTTTCATAGTGTCCAGTAGGTGGCGATAGAGGCAAACATTTAACCCCGGGACGCCAGGTCTTCCCAGCCTGTGGTCACGCGTCCAAGCCTCACAGGTGTGGCCTGTTGCTGCCCCAAGGGCTTACTAACTCACTCACTCGACACTGCAGGTGTAGGATTTGGTTTGGTTTTGTTTTGTTTCAGCTGTAAGTATTCCAAGTTCTGTGCTAAATCGAGGATTCTAACAGATGAATGAATTTGTGTGTGATTTTAAAAGTCCAGACCTGGCTGAAATAAATCAATTTATTATAAAACTCCTAAGCTGGGAAGCTGCCCACAGCGGAAGCGCTGGCCGCCCTCAGCTGTCCTTGCGGTGTGAAGCTCGTTCTCCTGCCTCCCATCCACAAGCCATGTGTTCGCTCTAAGCGGTGGTGCTGGGCCCAGCTTACTCTTCCCTGTGACCATCACTCATGGTTCATTACTGCGAAGGGGGAACTATGTGTTAGTTGCTGATTTTATTTTCTTATAATGATTTAAGAAGGAGCTTAACATAAACCCTGAAGAACAGAGGTTTTATTTAGACACCAACAAAAAAGACAAGTAATGGTAATAAATCACAGGGTCAGTGAGGACATTAGTAACCGTCAACCTTCCAGAATGCAGTGCTTAGCGTTTGCTAGGCTGATGCAGGCGTAGATGACTGCATGGAGGTTTCTGTCCTCCCTACGCTGTTTCACCCCTGAACATACCTTGAGTTTCACCTCTCCCCACCAGGGCCCCTATACCTTCCACCTGCCCTCTCAGCTGTCCTGCCCATTCTGGCCCAGACTTTAAAACTTACATATAAAGAAAACTCTGGAATCTGTCACCATGTGCAGATGCACATTTTTGCACCCAACATTACTAAATTTTTCTGGAGCCCTGAGGGGTGTTAGACTTGAAGAAGAAAAAAAAAGTAGCTAAAGCATGTCTGTCTCTAATGGCAGAGAAAAGAAATGCAGAGTTAAAACTAAACAAATTGCTCTCCAGCAGCAAGAGAATCATGAGAGAAATTATTTCTGATGAGTTACAAAAAGTAACCTCGCTCGCACCAGCCTCAGAAAACTTTTTATGAAGATAAACCAAAACTGGGTGAACAAGTTCATGATAGAAAAGTTTGTAGAAAATTATAGGAATCACTGGTAGTTGGGCACCCATAAATCGTAGCCAGCGTGGAAGAACAGTGAACTCCAGTTTGTACATTTTGGAGAAGAGCTGGCTTGATGTGAGGAACGCAGCGTTGGACATGGATTCCCTTAGGGGAGAAATTCCGCTAGCACTGTGGAAACAGACCCATGCACAGCTTAGCCTGAGAATCTGGACTGAAACGTTCAGCCTCCAGATTCCATTTATACTCTTAGATGTCCGGAGTCTCCTCCTGGATGGATTTTGTTTTTTTTTTTTCCCCTGAATTGGAAACTAAGTCTGAGAAATCTTCTAATTATTTATGTATTAATTCATGTAAAAGAAACAATATTAACCCTATTACATGTTAGTAAAAGTGAAAAAAGTTGTTATTTATATTAAAATGAAAAGAATCACATTGCATAGCTTTGCAAATCATCTTAATGGCTGTTTTAATAGAAGACAGCTGGTCTCTCACCCGCACTCATTTTGATGCAATGTGTTCTTTTAGGAGAAGTAGATAAGGGAAAAAATTCAACCTCCCATAAATACGCCCTTCAAATACCACTGGTTGTGCATTCATGCTGCACCCCAACTTGAAAAGCAGCCATTTCTTAAGCTATTTGCAATGTAGCACTGAAGCCCTCTCAGCAAACATTTGTCCTTTGGAACCCTAAAATCCATTGGTCCGTCTTAGGCTGCAGAGAGCTTTTACCAAGGTGAACGCTTGTAACATTACTATATCTTTGGAAAACATTGACTCACTGAGTTATATCGGTCATTTGCAATATCCAAAAACTCACAAATATTCACCACTGATTTCCTCAGAAACGTCTTTAAATATTGCGAAACTGTGACGTTCCTGGTATGGCCACAAATTTCCCAAAACTTTTCATTTTTCCATAAAAACACAAATCATACCAATGCTAACAAACATGGTCAGTGTTGTTTTTCCTGCAAGTGACATGCGCACCTCATTTTCAAGCAGATATATTACCAGTCTCCGCTTTGCCTAATCATCGTGTGTCTAGTCTTCCTTTCGAGCCCCGTAACATCCCAAGAAAGAGAGCAACGATCCCAACTCTCCAGTCAAACCACCAGACATGCTTTCCCTCCAGAATAGCGGAGACTCCCCGATGGGTTTGTCACTGTACAGAGCCTTAGGCATGCCTTCCAGGCCAGCTCTTAGAATGTTTGTCAAAAGTGCGCTGAAGCATAGTGAGTCAATACAATTAATAAGTTTTACAGCTTCGTCAAGGACATGCCTCGTTGAGGCTAATGTTTTCTCTTTCTACCACATAGGAAGCTACTAGCCCAACGTGGTGTTGTGGCTGAGGTATGCCCAGGCCCCAGCTCGTTTGCCTTTGTCGCTTTGGTACCAACAGTGCAAGTGGGGTTTTGGGATTATTATGAAAATAGCCTTGGCCTTGCGCTCCCAATCTCAGGTAGTCTGCATTGTGAGAACCCTGAGCTCTGTTGAAGGAAACTACACCCGCTGCTGAGGGCTTATTCAGGCACGTGCCAGGAGGCAGGGTAAGGACACACAGCAGAGTAGAGACTAGGTGGCTGCAGTAGACACAGGAAGGGAGAGCTACTGAGAAAAGCCATATCCTGAAGGCACAGAGCTGGTGTTATTCTTCGAAAAGGAGGCTTGGAGGGGAAGATAATGACACATGCGACTTATTTACATTGAATTTGAGAGACCACAGTGTATTACTTCAAGTACAAAATGGTAAGTACATTTTAGGTAACAATGAAAGGACTTAACGAGATTGATGATGAAGAGACACCAAAGCCTGAGGTGTAAGCCTGTCCCGTTTGCTTGAGGTGTCTTCTGACGAAAACCAGGTCATGACTTCTCCCAATATCACTGACGGCAAGTGACACTTTAAACTTCTCTTTCTGTGTTTTCCAGAACCTGCACAGATTTACCCACATTCCTTCAGGGATGTGCTTAGATCGCTCAGATGTCCTGCACCAAGTGTTCATCTCTGATTGCGACTCCAGTAAAGCGACTCAAAAGTGGGAAATGAATAACATCCACAGTGTTTAGGAAAAATAAAGGAAACCAATAACCTACCTACTGACACATAAAGTTATACAGGACTGAAAGGCGCCTGAAACCTGCTGCAGCAATTATAATAATTCTGTACAGCTCCAAACCCAGAACCTCCTGATCAGTTTGAAGGACATTGATAAACTGTGATTTTACAATAACATTATCATCTGCAGTTACTGTTTACAAAACTGCTTTTACCTTAAACTTTGTAGATGTTTACATCATTTTTTGTTTTGTTTTAAGGTGATGTTGGTCATTTGTGCATTTAGCTCTGTTTTATTTCCAACAGAGTTGAAGGTGTCGTTGTCGTCTTCTTTGGGATTACACTCAGGGTCTGAAAGGCAGTTTGATTCTTTTTTTTTAACACACTTGAAAAAGGTTGGGGTAACCAGACTTTCATTTCTAACTGGGTGGTTATCAGCCGTTGTGTCTTTATTTAATTTTACATCTTTTCGAAGCACTGCCACAGGTTCTCAGCCAGGGTGGCCTTTCTTCACAGTCATGCTGCTTTTTTGAAAGGTGAATTTCAACACATTTAGTGCCTCTTTCATTTCTCAGTATATATTCCAAGAGCTTTTGATGAAACTTACAGGATGGTAATGTTGGAATGTCACCTATTTGAGGAAAAATGTGTCCACTACTCAGAAATGAATTTATGTGCTACCATTTTGTTCTGAAATCGAATGTTATATGGCTTGAAACAGAAATGACAATTATGGACCATCCCCAGGGCACTGGGTATTCCACAGGGTGTGAAGACTGTTGCCCAGGATGCCCTCGGTAGAGACCAGTACCACAGAGAGCAAAGGGGTCTACAGCCAGAGAAAAATTGGCCACTGACACTTGGGACTTAGTTTTCCCCAGTACATTATAGAAAACAGTAAATCTCAGTTTTAAACTCTTGAAATGGGAGTGACAAAAGAAAACACCGCTGTAAACACATAATTCCTTGGAACTGGGTAAGAATTCCCAGCCCCTTATTTGAGTGAGCCTTACAAAACTGTTTGGCATAACCTCAGCCGAACAACTGGGACGCCGAGAGCGAGTGGATGTTTCACTTCTGTTTTCACCCAAATGAAATTCCCTGCACATTTTAAACTTCTTTTTAAAAAGACTATTTAAGAGTAGTTAACAAATATGAGCTACTTTCTGTTAGATTGGGTGTTTGTTCCCTAATGTTTCTTAGGTGGTTGTCTTTTTTCTTTTAGGAAGCCTGCTTTTATTAATTTTTTTCAATGAAAAGATTTGTTTGTATTTAAACATTTATTTGGACAGCACCTCTCATAAGAAAACCAAATACTGCAGGGGTCAGATTTTAATTTCTAAGTAAAGGTCCAAAAAGATTAAAATGCTAAATTGCATACAAAAAAAAATGTAAGGTAGGAACTTAAGCATATTTGATCCTGTAATCATGATATCGCTACAATGAAAGGAATTCACAAACTACTGCCAGCGGGAAATATTTTTAAAGCTAAAAAAAGAAAAAGACTGCATCCGTTTAAAAAAAGCCTACAAATTTGTTTCTCCCAAGCCTAACTCTTCAATTTAGAGTCAATGTTAACGTTAAACATTTTAAACAGTTTTATTTATAATTTTGAATTGTCAATGACTATTTTGCTACCAATCTGTGATCAACCATTTTAACTTTCATTCATCTCTAGAGATATTTAAAAAGGAATACATTTATATGCTTCTATAGCTACAAAATAAATCAACTCTAAAAGAGAATTGGTACTTCAGTGACTTGTGTGTTGGCAGTTTGCTCCTCCATCTTCCTTGTGGAATAGATTATAACCTTGACACCTATCCGTAGTCCTAAGGAAGGTGGCACACTGACTGCGTATAGAAACTTTAAATGGGTATTTGGTGCAATTCATTAAGATACTCTATGATAATGATTCTACAGAACTGAAATCAGAAACCTTACCAAACATGAAAAGCATCACAAGCTGCCGCCATATGACTATTTTCTACTGTAGGCTGCTTTGGAAATAATTCCCATATCCTTGCTTTGTAAGTTGATAAAATATCACTATGCATTTCTACACATTTTATAAATTTGATTTATGCAGATTTTGATACACTGTATGTTTCTGTAGAAATTGTATAAATATTCAAAATTTTATTAGGGATAAATTTGAGAAGTTTATGTATATCTTAATTCTGGGTTGCTTGTTTTTTAGGTGAAGAAAATAAAAACTGTATTTTAATCCATGGCTTTTTTTCAGTACTTGTAATCTAATTTCTAAGTCTAATGTCTTATGCAACATATTTGAAATAATTATTTGATTTTATTGTTTTCAGGGTACACTAAAAGAATAGCTAAAACATCATTGAGTATATAGCAGAGTTTGGTTAGCTGGGATAGAGGAATCTTTCATTTGTTTCCCCTCCCCTCCCCAATGGCTTATATAAGATAGAGATTCAGTTTTCCTCCTTGTCATAAGAAGCCTGGGAGCCAGGGCCAGTGACATGATTCAAGGATTCAGAGCAGAAATCTTTGCAATTTCCTTTGATTTCCATTCATGATGAGTCACAGAATGGCTCAGAAGATCCAACCAAAACACCCCAACTTCATGCAGAAAAAGAAAGGCAGGTAAAAGGGCAGAGCCTGGGCCCTCCCTGGTGGCGCGATGGGTTAGGACACAGTACTGCAAGTGAGCCGTCATTGCGAGTTCAATCCCCGGCCCCCGGGAGCTGACTCACATGGCGCGGCAGACCTCTCCTGACCCATCCGCTGCTCCCCTCAGCAGTGTATTTCAGTCGGTTTGCCTGTTCTGCTCCCCACTCTGTCTCTGGTGAATCCTCTCACCGCCCCTGCACCTCTGGCCTGTACCCCAGTTCCGTATGTCTAAAGAAAATTTTTTATTTATTTATTTATTTTAAAGCGGAGCCTAGCCATTTCTCAGAAATTCTCACCTTTGTCTTTCAGGCAGAACTGTGTCATATGAGCAGCTCTAGCAGCAAAGGGTTCTGGGAAATGGAGTCCTATTCTGGGAGTATTACTACCACCTCTCTTCCCCTCACCATCTCAAAGACCACATTTCTCTTTAAGGAAAAGAAAAGCATGATGTTGAATAGGCAACAATGTGTGCCATGTCAACTACTACAAGACTCAACTCTGGGAAAGAACCAAACTGGAACTCGTGGGACTTAGACCTGGCATGACAGGAGAACTTCTAGAGAATAGGTCTCCATAGTTCATAGGAAGTTACTCTGCCTGAGTCTCTTCTGAATGTTGTGTGCCAGAAAACCCTGGTTGACAGGTAGACAGTATGCTTGCTTCTGATTTGACCTGTTGGTCTCTACAAACCAAAAACTGTGGTAGCATCACCTTTAGTTGACTGGCTGACATACCGAAATTCGCCGCTTCATACTGCATCAGGCCTGTCTTTACCTGGGCATGTGTGTGTTTCTATTGTGTGGGAAGTGTTCCTGCATTCTCCCATTCACACCCCTTCAGAAACAAGGGGACTTGGTTAAAACTGATTGACCCACCTGACTAGGATTAACCAATAAGTCATGGGGGGGAAGGGGAGGCATCAGACCAAATCAAGACTCTTAGTAAGATAGGAGGGTGGAATGGATTTGAGATGGGCAGCAAACAGCATCTGCAAAGAGCATGAGCTTCCTTTCTTAGAACCTTACACAGCCCATTCTAGCAGTACAGCAATTTCAAAACTTAGTCACTGCTGTTAAGTGTAAACGTGATGGTTCTATTCAATTCACAGATGCTCATGTTACTAAAACTTTTAAGACTATGAACCCTTGAGAGCAAGCAATGGTCCATTTCTCTTGCTCAAAGCACTAATGTGATTATACTTGATGGGTGGCCCCTCTCTTTTGTCTGAGGCCTCCTTAATTTTCCTAATAGTATGTGACAATGCTCTTTTCTGAATGGTGGGGTAGTGTGTAGACTTGTCTGTATTTGAATCCACGTTTCTTTACAAATTACCTTGGTCACTTTGGGAACATTATTTAATCTTTATTCTTCAGTGTCCTCATTAATAAAATGGGGGAAAATAATAGTGCCCATTTTACAGAATTGTTCAGAGGATCAAATGAGTTTACATATCAAACACTTAAAATGATAGTTCTTGGCAGAGAGGATAATATAAATATTAGTTATCTGGTTTTAAAACCTTTTATCTGTCTCTTCGGAGAACAGCTACACTACAGACCCTTTATGAAGAGTGCATGAGCATACGTATACCTGTGCTTCGTTATGTGTGAGGTCATTACCCCTACTTTGCAAGTCAGAGAATGAAGCTCAGAAGCTTCTTAAACTGGTGGCACAGTGGGTTAAAGCACAGCATCATGAAGCTTTCCACAACCACTACCGCACAAGTTCGGTCCCCAGCCAGAGGGGTGACCCACATAGCACAGCAGATCTCTCCTGTCCCGCCCACTGCTCCATGTATTTCAGAACATCTGCCTGTTCTGCTCCCCACTTGGTCGCTGGTGAATCTTCATACCCCCACATCTCTGGCCTGTACCCCAGTTCTTATATGCATAAATAAATTAAAAAAAAAAAAACCCTAGAGGGAGGCATGAGATGGTTATTCAGAAATCATTATCTTTACCCAATGCCATTCCTCCAGCACATGTAGTATGTGGGGTTCAGTGGTCTAGCTTAATCCTTGGATGGCCTAAGTACATCTTGAAATTCATCTAAGATGTGTATTTTTACATTATCTGTAAAATTTCTTTTGGGCTTTTGACAAAGCAAGTAACTCCAGCCACTGTGTTGATGATTAAATGTTGCAAACAAAGCTGTAAGTTCTAGGTGATGAAGATGACCAGGCTTCCCTTCTAGCCACGGCATAGTAAAAGTGAACATATCCTGCTCTCCTAAACAACCATCTAACTGGACAAACAAAACTATATAACTGGAGCAAATTTCAGGAATTGGATAGCAGACTGTGATAGTTGGGAGAAGCAAAGCAAGCTGCTTCAATATGTTTGCCTGCCTGGGAGAACTTACGCGACTACTGCACAGGGCTACACAGTGATGCTCTCTGAGATGAGGGACAGAGTGGGGGTTTGAAGCTGCTGAAATGTACAGGGCAGGCAAATGAGGGGAGTCCACTTGAATACCAGCACTGAGACCTGTACAGTGAGTTTTATGGCACTGCCACTACAACAGCAAGACCCTGAGGAACAACCTAAACACCTATCGGTTACGGCATCCTCGCATGATGGCCAGTTCCATAGCAATGCGAATGAAGTTATAAACAAGTCTTAATAGTAGGATAGATAGCACTGAGAGGGAGTGCAGTGTTTTGGGTAACCCCCAAAACACTTCATGCAGCAAATGTTTTTTGTAAAATCAAAAGCAACTGAAATTAAACATGTCACGTTAAACCTACGTGATAGGTTAAGTGACTTGTTCAAGTTCACAGATTAGGAACCAAGGAAGTAACTCCAGTGCTCAATATCCCCAGGGCCCAGCAGGAGGAATTTGATCCTAGGTAAACCTGTCCCCAACAGCATGCTCTCCATGACACTAGTTTTCCTTTCCACTTTCTCAAGAAATCTCAGTACTGAATCTAATGCTCTATCATGGCAATTATACTAACCCGTTTCAGCATGTGAACTTTTTTAGTTAATATTTACTAAGCATTTACTACTTCTTGTCAGAATGTGTTAAATATATTGCCTTATTAAGTCCACAAAATAGATTTTTCTTGCTTTACAGATGCGCCAACCAAAGGTTTCAAGTTGTCTGATTTTAACAAGCCAGTAGGAAACACATCCCTATCGGATCTTCTGATTCCCAAGGCAAAGTTCCTTATCAGCTAGCTCTCAATTATTTTCATTTTCCCCTTTGTAGTGGTTCACTTGTTTTTGATCTTTGTATAAGCCATTTTATCTTTATTGCAAAAATGTGCAGCATTGAAAAATAAGGCATCAATGAAAGGTATTATCTTGTTACCTGCCCTAGGACAATTCAGCTTGACTGTCAGGTTTTCCATTTGATACAAAGGTCATTTGATAATACTCTACCCATTTCCAAGTGCTGAAGGAAACAGACTTAATCGATTTCAATCAAAAACTCCATTTCTTCTATGTAGTAGGTGGTTTCAAGTACTTTTCTACCATTGTTATTTAATCTTTGAACAGTAAAACAGAAATTGACCCCTTATTACAAATGGGGAGAATTCAGCTCAGTTCATAACCGCTAGTATTTTGTAGAGCCAGGGAACTGGGAGCTAACCTCAATGAGTCTGAAATAATTACCCCAATTTTTCTAACATCACCTTACACTAGAAAATACTTTTTAATCTTCACTTTATGATCAGTGAAAATTCAAAATTTGAATGCACAGCCATTGGAATGAGTAATAGGAAGCTCTCATTGAAGTTTGAAGATTTTCTTGAGGTCCATGTTTTTGTTACTGATTTTCCATTAACATACTAAATTAAGGAGGGATTTTACCTCTGCAAATGAGCCTCATCTCACCCACTGACAAAATTCTAGCGCTTTTCCCATTATCATTGACTCTACCCTTCCCCTTCCTCTATTCCCTCTAATATTTTTCAGGGCCTGAGTTATTTTTGTTGTGATGTTAGTTCATTTGTTGTATTTGTATTTCACCCATTATAAGCCTTCATTTGTCCTTTCACTTCCTGAAGTTATTTCATTGAGCACTCACTTTTCTCTATCGTTATCTGATGGGCATTTAGGCTGCTTGCAAGTCTTAGTCTGAATAATAAGCTGAACATAGGGGTGCATATTCACAAAATATTCAAGATCCCTGTGACCTGGTACTAACAGCGTACTTCTACTTAACAAAACTTAAGTCAGTAAGTATCTTAAAAATTAAATAACCCCTATCAAGTATTTATTCCAAATGTGTCATGACACCCAAGGCTCCCATGGTTGGTAATAACCGACTTCTACTTTATACCTTGATAACCAAGATTTGCCAGCATAATGACAAAACCAGTTAGTAGTTTCTTCTATAGTCACTTAGCCAAAAGATAGTCAATTTTCACTAAAAATCCCTGGTGACTATTCAAGAATTACCTAAATTTAAGTACAAGCAACTGCTTCCTCAAATAGTCATTTTCCATCCTCTAAATATACTAGCGAATTCTAGTCGAAGTATTTTATGGGATGAGATCGCAATAGTCATTTTTAATGCTTTATGTTACTCAGAACTCTAAAACTTAAGACATTGATTTCTAGAAGATTAAAATCAAAATTCATTCTGAAAGTCTATCTTTAATTCATTAATAGAAACTTTCACTGCTTTTTCACACTTTTAGCTGCCAATTATATTAACTAGTGCCTTAGAAAAAATTTCCCTCAGTATGAATTAAAAACTTACAACGGGGTGGGGGGGCAAACTGGCTAATAAATGAACAGAAATGTCAAGAACAAAACTTACTTTTGCAAAGCTGCATTAAGTTTTTACACTTCATGAAATTTCAGACCTTAGTTTTAAGACGTGTGTACATATGAATAGGAGCAGATATGCCTTTCCTCTCAGCCCTATCCCTGAAACTAACAGTATACAACTAGGCAGGAAAAAGCTGCTATCATTCCAAACTACGTTCTTCAAACGTAGAATAAACTTAGCATAGAAGACAAAGACAACAGAAGTAATATACATAATTTTATTACAAAATTTTTTTTTAAAAAAACCAAAATGTAACATTCTAAAAAACCCAAAATTTTCTATCCATACTAATTCCTACAAGTTTGCTGTGCTACCAAACACAAGTCAAGAAATTAAAGAAACCATTAAATATTTAGAAACATTCAACATCAGAAGCTTTAAAATCTAACTATGTAGTAGCCACTCAAAAAGCTACAAACCTGCATTTTTAAAAACGTATTTTCTCTACAAAGAATCTTATCAGCTATACAAAAATCTGTACAGTTTTTATACTGAAGCTAATATTGAGCTGCACTTGAATTCACATTCTTAGCAAAACAGTTGCCTGAGCACACATGCATACTCCACACGCATCATTACAGAACGGCCACTTATTCTTCATCTTCGTCCTCCTCTTCCTCGTCTTCATCTTCTTCCTCCTCTTCCTCCTCCTCCTCATCCTCTGGCTCATTTTTCTTCTTGGAGCCTGTTGGCCTGCCAGGGCCCTTCTTTCCTGCTTCACTTTTGCCCTTGGCACGGTATGCAGCAATATCCTGAAATAGTGGTAAAATCAGCATCCGGCACAGTTGCCCAACTGCGCAGCGCCTCCAGCCTCCATCTAGGCAGCTCACCCTCAGACAAGCCCAGCCTGCCTCCAGGCCAACCCCAGGGAGGCCCTCCAGGAGCATCTGCTCCAGGAGGGCTGGAGAAGCCTGATGTGCAAGGAGCTGCAAGGAACTGCCAGCGCCTTCAAGGTGTCTCACCTTCCGGCTGCACCCACCTTCCGCCACCCTTGGTCCTCAGGGTCTGTGGATCAGAGGCCAACACAGGCCTCTTGCCCTCAAGTCACAGCCCGGTTTCCACAAACAAAGGTTTGGACGGCCCCCCCGCAGCGTGCGGCGCTCCGCAGGCAGCTTCAGAACATGGTTGACACCTCCTGCGGGGCCTCCTGTCAGCCCCGGCCTCCTACTTGCCACCTGCCTGTGCCTGGCAACTGGGGCAACTGGGGCAACTGGGAAACGCGCGCCCAACTCGCGTGCCGCGGGCGGAACGACTGGTACCTTCTCGTACTTCTCCTTCAGCTTGGCCGCCTTCTGCTCGTACGGCTGCTTGTCCTTGGCTGACTGCTCAGACCACATTTCGCCCAGTTTCTTCGCAGTATCCCCAATGGACAGGCCGGGGTGCTCACTTTTGATCTTTGGGCGATGTTCCGAGCAAAACAGGAAGAAGGCAGATCTGAAAGGAAGCAGGGGTTAGCCAGCCGCGGGACGCCACAAACGGCGCGCACCTCAGGTGCGCCGAGGCTCGCGCGGACACTCACGGGGGCCTCTTCGGGGCGTTGGGGTCCTTCTTCTTCCCCTTCTTGTCGCCCTTGGGGGGCACGTAGTTCTTCATCTCCCGGTCGTAGCGGGCTTTGTCGCTCTTGGCCATGTCTTCGAACTTGGACTTCTCCTTGGCGGACATGGTCTGCGGGCGGGCGACGGCCGTGAGCACCCCGCGAGCGCCCGCCGACCCCGCACCGCCGCGGCCCCCGCCCCCCGGCGCCGACACCCCGCAGCCCCGCACCTTCCATCTCTCCGAGCACTTCTTGGAGAACTCGGCGAAGTTCACGGACGAGTCGGGGTGCTTCTTCTTGTGCTCCTCGCGGCAGGTCTGCACGAAGAAGGCGTACGAGGACATCTTGCCCCGCGGTTTGTTGGGGTCTCCTTTGCCCATGCTGACAGACGGCGCGACCTGGCGGCGAGAGGCGGCGGTGGGCGCCGCGGCCCCCCGCT